CCGGAGAAGAAGGAGAGATCGCCATGAATACGGGGAGTGTTGTGTTTGCGGTGGAGTGATGAAGAAGAACGAGGGAAAATGCTGAATGTTTATATAGTATTTGGGTATGGTTCCAGGTCGGACAGGAGTCGAACTCCAAGTCCAAGCATTGTTCGAAATTATTTATTTATTATTAAAATAAAAAAGAAATAATCCCAAAACTTTCACCTTGTTGGGCTGATTTGAGCCCTTTAGCTTTTCGGTTTTGGGCCTTTTGTCCCTTTTGGGTCCTGAGTCCAGACTCCTGACTATCCCATCCCATATACGGGTCGGATCATGTCGAAAAGAAAATACTCGGCCGTCGGCCGCCTAGCTTTATCGCAACCGAAAGTAAAACCTTCATTCTGCCGGCGGTTTTTCTACGAAAATCGAGGACATAGAGGATCTCTAGATCGGTAGCGGCAGTGCTCCACCTGGTTTCAGGTTACCACTGAACGCTGTCGGAGTAATCCCCGGCGGAAAAAGAACAAACCGAATCCTGCCAACTCTAAGCTCTCGCAATATCATGATATTAGCTCCCCCAAAATCGCTGGCACTCAGGTCTTCTCCTCCTCGTTCTCTGTAGCGGTTTATATGTATATACTGATGACTGTAATCTGAAGTTTTTCATTTTTTTTTTATTTTTCTGTTACAGACGATATATATCAAGACTTTTGGGTGTTCGCATAACCAGGGAAGCTTTCTAATTTGATCTGTTATTTTCTAATTCTTTTGGATTGATATTCAGATATCGCATTTAATGATTTAGGTCTTAAATTAGCTTTGAAAATTTCCAGCTAGATGCTTGTGGAATTGAGGAAGTTGTTTAAATTTCAAAGTAAAGAGATACACCAGTGCAGAAATCAGTTTTTAATAGCTACATTTTTTTGGTTTTATTTTAAAGAAAAATTAGTTTTTTCTTTTTAACTAGATGAATTTCATATAATCCGTAGCTTTGAAGAGTTTAACTCTTACTTTGCTATTGGATATAAATTACCCTGCGACTGAATCCCAAGGGAGGGATGCATGGATCTATCGACAACCGTACCTTGAAATTATCATTTCTAGCTACTATGGACATGCTAATAGAATGACAATTGAACTTTATCTCCGAGTCTTAGTACTTGAATAAGGTTGGTCGGCAATTCTAACTTATCAACTACTTAAATATTTATAAATATTCACATTGGACTTACGAGCGATTGGCTCAAATAGTTAATAAGGCTAATGATGTCAAGAGTATTAATGAAATTAAAATATTATGTAATTTCTCTTGTTTTTTTTATGATTAATGAATAAATTAAAGAATATGTGTTATAATTATGGTTCAATTTATTTTGGGATATTTGAATGTCCAAACCAAAAATTATTACCACTAGAATCTCACAATTCAATTATTTATACGAATATAAAATTAAGCCACATCCAAATCTTAATGTCAAAATTTCACACCTTCAAGCAATATAACAAAGGGATTTAACATTTTCTGACAATAATCCAAGTTTCAGATTAAGATGTGATTAATTAAGTTGAGATACATATCAAATCAAAAATTTTATGCAATTTAGAAACATAAAGAGCAATAAAAAAATGAATCAGTAATCTGTTGTCAATAAAAATTGGAATTGAGCCAACGACTTAAATAACTCAGTGATTATTTTCTTTCATTGGAAGTAAGAAGTTCGAGTCGCATGATATGCGGGTAGAATGAGATAAGGGATGAGAGATAGTTGTCTCTAATTTTGCAACCAAGATAAAAAAATAAAATAAAAAAATAAAAATAAACAGTACAACTATATTCTGGATAAGATGCAGCGAAAACTCTCAAACTGGAAATGTGCTACACTGAGCTTGGCAGGCAGGAAGGTTTTAATTCAATCTGTGACAGCTTTTATCCCAGCCTATACAATGCAAACAACTTTGCTTCCAAAGACAATTTGTGATGCGATTGACCGTTTGAACAGGGATTTTCTTTGGGGATCAGTTTCTGGTGTCCGTAAGCCACATTTGGTTAGTTGGGATATCATCTACTCTGAGAGGAAGTATGGTGGGCTTGGATTGCGATCTGCGTGGGATAATAATCAGGCTTTTGTTACCAAGCTTGGCTGGCGTTTATTCAAGGGTGATAAGGCACTATGGTGTAGAGTGATGCAAACGAAGTACCTTTGCGGTCGTAACCTCCTGCATGCCAGGGCTCAACCTAATTCTTCTTTCATATGGCGAGGGATCCTACGTTGTGGATCAATTTTGCAGCAGGGCATCCGCTGGAGGATTGGTACTGGTGAGGGTGTGAAATTTTGGTCTGATAACTGGGGGGGCAATGTTCCTCTTATTAATACTATGGATGTGAGTCCTTCTGATCCCTTGCTGCTAGTGGCAGATGTTATCAGTCCCGATGGCACATGGGATCTCGATAGTTTGTAGACCTTGGTTTCGATGGACACAATTAATATTATTAGAGCAATTCCACTAACAAGAAATGTGCAGCTACTGGATAGTAACTTTTGGGCAGGCTCAATGGATGGATCCTTCACAGTAAAGGCAGCATATCAACTCATCCAAGAGCAAAAACACTCGAGTGATGCCCCAAGAGATTCATGGCTATGGATTTGGAAGCTGCAATGTGCAGAACGAATTCGGATGTTTGTTTGGCTCTTGGCGAGAGGGAGGGTCCTTACAAACTCTGTCCGCTTTACTCGCCATATGACTGCTTCTCCTACTTGCCCCAGGTGTGAAGCTTCTGACGAAAGTCCTATCCACATGCTGCGTGACTGTTATTTTGCTAAGGTTGTTTGGGGACTGTTGGGGTTTAATAGGTCTGCTTTCTTTACATTGGAAATTAATCCATGGATCAAGACGTTCTCAACTCCATTCCGACAGAATATGCATGCTGGTGTACCACGGGGGATGTTGTTCCTATCTGCTATTTGGTTACTCTGGAAAGCTAGAAATGATCTCATTTTTTAGGCGCATAAATACAGACCGCAGGACCTATGTGCTAAGATTCTTCAGCAGACGCAGTATTCCATGATTGCAATGAGTCCAGAATCATCGATTCGGTCACAACAACCACGATGGATTAGTTGGATTCCACCAGAGGCGGGATGGGTTAAATTAAACTCTGATGGGTCTTACAACGCTGCTGACAACTCTGCTGGAGCGGGGGGTTGGATTAGAAATAGCCTTGGCGATTGGATCTCAGGATTCTCAGTGAATGTGGGTGCTACTACTATTTTTATTGCAGAGCTTTGGGGCCTTAGGGAAGGGCTCCGATTATGTCACTCTCTCGGTTTGTCTCGGGTAGTTGCTGAAATGGATTCACTGATGGCTGTTCGATTCATTCTTGAGAATAGGAAGCCAGACAACCTGTCTGCCGCCATTTTATTGGATATTAAGGATCTGATGCTGAAGTTTGAGGCTTGTTTACTGCAACATACTTTGAGGGAAGGGAATGCTGCTGCCGACTTCCTAGCTTCCTTGGGACACTCTTCACCACCAGGTTTGAGAATTTGGGATTCTCCGCCCAGTGGAGTCAGGCTCATCCTTACAGGGGATCAACTGGGGGCATGCTTCCTCCGCTTTTAATTTATCTTTAGTTCTGTTTCATTTTCGCTGATGTACCAAAAAACTAAGGGATCATTAAATGATCTAATACCTGAGTAAAAGAAATAGCTGACAGAAGGATTTGTTTTCGTTGGCAAATGTGTTTTTAAAGAAGTGTGGTGATATAAGGATAATTTTTTATAATTTTTATATATTATTTAATAAGTGAATACATTCAATATATAAATTTCACATAAATAAAAAAAATAAATTATTTAAATGACACGTAAAATTATATAAAAAATTTTATACAAAAATTATCCTTAAATCCATTACCTTTTAAAGAATAATTTGCTAATGTTTTTTTATTTAAAATGATTTGTTATCTTCTCCATGGTTAGCGGACGATTTAGTTTTGGTTTGTTTTCCCCGCTCATGAACAATTTTATTTTGAAAAATGATTTTAGATAACTTTTTTATCTCATATTTTTATATAATTTGACATGTCATTTATATAATTGGTTCTTTTTATTCATGTGGATTCTGTAATATTAAATGCATTCATTCATTTAATAACATGTAAAAATTATATAAAAAAAATATAAAAAAATTATCTTTATAGCACTGCTCAATTATTTTTACGTAGTAAAATTGCATTTTGGAAATGGAAATTTAATTTGACCAACATGATTTGGTTCCAAGTTTTCAACTCATGTTGTACTCTCAAATGTTAAATAGAAAAATCTCACATCTATAAAATAATAAAAAAATATAAGATAAATAAAAAAAAAAAAACTACTCTATTAACAGTTAAATTAATTTTAAATTAAATACAAATATTGTATTAATCTCAAATGTCCGACTTTCACACTCAGAAATACTTTCGGTTTAAGATCCCTTTTCCGGGGGATAGAAATAGTAGCAATCGGGTTAATTTTGGCCATTTCTGGGGAGGTCATGAAGCAAATTACACCTGGAGCAAAATTTAATTTCTTCTTAATAAGTCTTAAAAATAGACAAAACAGACTATTTTTTCGGAATATGCATGTGAAACTTCATATATACATTCCAATGTTTGTAGTTTTTCAAAGACTAGTAATTTAAGGAGCTAATCAAATTATAAAAAACCCCATTTTTAAAGTACACAGTTTATATAGGTCCATGAATTTCGACGAGAATGGGCGAGTGTAGGAAGAGTGAGAAATTTTTTAATTAAATTTTGAGTATATATTTGTCATTAAAAAGGTAAAAATATCTAATTAACAGCAACCAGTATGAATTCGATGAATGCAGATTATCCTGTGTAAGTATTTACCCTTTGTTAATCTGCAACCACAATTCACAAACACCCCCAGGACTCATACTTTGTTGCAGAAGCAAAGAATGGCGGGCTCAAAACAAGTTGGCATCTTGCTTCTTCTCTTCTATGGTATATGTTACATTCTTGATTGTTCTGTTTTCATCTCCGTCGTTTGTATACCATTAAAATTAACTCTTTCCATTTGGTGGCACACATGAATTAATATTCATCACTTGTGTATGTTATATTATATATCAATATTACATAAGATTATAATCTTATGATTATGATGCATTTTTAAATAAATAAACAAATATATATATATATAATGTTAAGAGTAAATTCACAAATGAAAAAAGTCAATTGAAATATCATGATTATAAACCTATAATATTAAACAATATTGTAAGTATATCATTTTCTATGTCATATTGTATGTCACTATAATCTCTCTTGTGAAAGATATCAAGTTTCCCCGAATGATTATTTTGTGGTGTTTGATAAGCAGCTGCAGTTTGTAGTCCAGAAGCAAATGCTCCAACCCAAAACATCTGCCCTTCTGCGTGCTTCGGTGCTCAATCCATGACCTGTTTGGCAACAGGTGACGAAAAGCTTCCGCCGGTCTGCAACTGCTGCTTGGCACCAGCAAGCTGTACCCTTTACTTTGCTAATGGAATTAAATTACTCTGTGACTGAATCCCCTGGGAGGGATGCGTCTATCCACAACCGTACCTTGAAATTATCATTTAAGGTTATTATAGAAATGCAAACAGAATAAAAGATCTATGATTAATGGGGGCCAATGAGGGCAAGAGTATTGGAATTGAAAAACTATGTAAGTTCTCTTGTTTTCTCTATGATTAATGAATAAAAGATCAAGAATATATGTTATATATGGTTCATTTACTAGGGAACATCTGAATGTCCAAACCAAAAACAACCACCATAATCTCACAATTTTGATCACTTATATGGATCTAAAATTACATCCAAATTACCAAAGAGTGATAACTTAGATGG